ATCATGTGAATGTAACATGCGAGGGAACGTAATGTCACATGAATGCTCTGTGGAAAACAACTTGGGGCATTAATCCTAAAGAACCCTGCATAATGGGTTGTGCTGTTAGTCTAAGAGGGACATTCAATAGAAAAATAGAGATGTAAAAACTAAATACTCTGCATGCATAGTATCCTTTGAAGAGTCTGGGAAATAAGTAGCACCCCCAAACTACTCTTATTTCTCTGCCCGTCCTGGAGGAAGCAGATAATAAGGTTTCTGAAGATGCTTGTAAAAAATTATCATCCCTCATGCCCTCTCCCAGCTGCTTTTCAAGAACAAACATTGGGCTTGTTGCAAGCTCAGTCTGTCTCTCTCTCTCCCTTTTCCTTTCTTTAGCAGCCATGGTTAAGCAAGGTGTATGATGAATTGGAGTGGGAAAGAAATGGTGCCATTTATTTTTTTTCTGGATAGCCTCTGGCATTTTAACTATTGATTGGACTCTTCAGTTCATCTGGATGTATTTTAATATGACCTGTCCAAAGGGGAGGAAAAAAAAGAAGTTTGAGGAACTGAGTGGCTGACATACTTGAAGAAGGCAAACTCAAGAAGGTTTGGCATAAAGAAGAAGAGTAGTATTTTGCTTGCTTGTTAATACAAGTGTTATAGAAAAATAAGTGGAGAAGCATCCAAGAAAGGATTACAGGATGAGACTGATGGGAGTTGAGGTTGTATTGAAGAGCTGAATGAGCAAGATAATGAGCTGTGTGGTCTGAACTAAAAAACAAGCAGATGGATTATGAAGCTGCCTTAGTGCTTGTTGAAATAAAATAATTGATTCATGGACTGTGGTTGTAAGGGAACAGAATATGGATTTACTAGATATGCTCTCATTGGAACCAGATAATTGATAGTAGTTTTAATGATGGCCTTATGTAGCTGTGACAAATATAAATGCTTGTAATAAAACCTGTGTTTTCATATACCTAGCTTTGAGTAATTAATGAAATCCTCAATTAAGTGCTTAATTAATTTACATTATCCATAGAAATCACGTGGCAACATGCAGCATCTTCTTCATTACCTTCTCAAAGTTATTTCTGTGTGTCTACAAAATGCCCAAGGTATTAGTAGCTAAATGCCCACTCACTGCTGTGCAGTGTTTTTGTGAGAAGTTTCCTACAGAAGATCATTAGAGACCAAAGGTTGTCTTGTTTGGCCTGCCCCCTAAGAGTTCATTTATCAGACTGCCACCTCATTAGCAGCCATTATTGGGGGGGGGGGCAGTTCTCTCTCTCCTTAAAACCCAGTGCTGTGGCCGTGGCCCCCTTAGCATCCACATGGCTCATAGGCAGGCTAGCTATGCAAGTCAGCATTGGTGGTTTTTCCATTAGCAGTGGAAAATTATTCAGGTTAATAGCAAACTGTATTAGAACATCTGGATAACCCAGAGTAAAATCCGTGTAATCATTCAATAAAGTCTAATCAGGGCTGCTAGACCATGGGTAGGATGGAAAAGGTCCACAGCACTTCTGTCAAGACTGTTAAAACTTGCAATACGAGATTTTTGGGACAGCCCATTGAGGGTCTAGATACAGGTACAACACTTTCAGCTGGTTTGCATAATTGCTACAACCCACTGTGACTTATTCAAGCCAAGGCTTGTGGTGTATGCTTGTGGCTGTTTTGAGTATTCAAACCACAGTCTCTCATAATGTTTGAACCCAGGGAGGGTGAGTTGCTGCCAGTGGGCTATTTTGGGGTTGTGAGTGGTTTCTTAATTAGGACAGAAGTCCACCCTGAACAGTGTTCAGGTGTCATGATGAGCCTCAGTGACCAGCTGCTATGGTTTAATACCCTTAGTGGCTGCTGGCATGTGCTGTAACCCATCATGGCTCAAGCCATGGTAGGCTGTGTGACCCTGTAGACTCTGCCTTTGCCTGATTTGAAGCCAATGCTCAGAGGTCCCTCCAGGACCTGTGGTCCAAAGACTCTGGTCTTGGGCATTTGAGAACTGACTACGATCCTATCTTCATTAGCTTTGTTTAAATATTAATTGTAAAATGCCTAAAAAGTCAGCTACTATGCAGACATATAAAAATACAGTCCCTGTTCTAAAAGCTTACATTCCAATTTTAACTGCAAGATCCAGAAATAAAAATAGCTAAAAAGTGGAAGCAATGAAAGAAAAGGCACAGAGACACAAAATGGGGGAAAAAATGGTGTGGTGTTTCACCTGCAGTGAAGAAGCAGAAATGTGCCTGAAGCAGAATCTGAAAGGACTAGAGTGATGTTTTGAGAGACTGTGAGGCTTGAGAAAGTGGTGGAGGAGGAGCAGGAAGAGGAGGACGAGGAGGACAGAGATCTGCCCATTGATACTATTCAGCCTCCCATAATCACTCAAGTCCAAGCAGAATAATATAGAGGAATTAGAGATAAAAGATAAGCAGGAGCTAGAAGATTGGGACATTTGAAGGTAAGTAACAGAAGCTTAAACTGAACATGAAAAAGAGATGCTAGTCAGCAGAGAGAAATCAAAAACGGTGAAACATTATCATATTTGTATGCAGAAATAAATAAAGCAAACAGCAGAATGCAAAACAGAAGGCAGTGTCATAGGCAAAACTGGCTAAAAAAAGAATAATTGATTGCGACAAAATAGGCTACAAGCAACACAGAGTTGGACTGAGAATCTGGGAGACTGGGGTTCTAGTCCTGACTAGGCCATAAGCCCACTGAGTGACTTTGGGCCAGTAACAGACTCGCAGCCTAACCTACCTCATGCAGTTCTTGTTTTGAGGATAAAGTGGAGCCACGTAAGCCTCCTTCGGTTTCTCACAAAAGTAAAAAAGAGTGGAATGTGCAATGATGATGCTAATGTCAGGATCGACAGACAGAAGAACAAAGTAATTGTTATTATTTATTTCATTTCTATACCACTTGTAGCCAAAGCTAGGAACATCTTGCCATCTGAAAATGACAAGGCTTAGCATACGATGACATGTGGGAAAATACTGAAAGGGAAGGATTTGAAGTAATACCAGGAATTCTAACTTGAAGAGAAGAGGGGAGTGGTGACATAGGAACAGAAGAGTTCCAAATCATGGATTCTTTTAAAGATACAGCTGTCAAGAATAAGCAATAAGCTACCAGGAAATTGCAAGACCAGATGAAGGATTACGAAGACAGCAAACTAGAGTTCTGGAAAGACTAGCTAAATATTGACAGCACTGATGTGGTAATTAATAGCAAAAGACTGAAAAAGAACCTAATGGGTGAAAGTAAGGAATAAAAAATAATGGACCTAACAGAACCCCTTGGAACACCAGTACACTAGGGGGTGGTAGAAGCAAAATAAATCCCAAGGAGAAGAAAACTATGAGCACAAAAAGAACAAGTGAATGTTCAGCAGACTTGAAAGTTGAGGATGAATAATGATGATGAAGTGCCAGACAGAACACTGACAGTGCTTCTTAGCCAGAACAAGAAAATTAGTCAAAATGAGAATTAAAAGTAAGGGTTAATATCAATCTCACCACACAGGGGTGAATCTCTCATTTTTCTCACCTGCTTAGACGCATGCTCAGTTTGGGACAGTTACTGCTGTGTTTTCCCAAGGAACACAGGCAAGGTTGTTAAAAGAACAAGATACTAGAATTAGCTGGGGTTTGATACCCAGAAGGGGTTGTGTGGAAGAAGTTGTAATTGTCAGTCTTGCAGCTGAGCTGGATAGGATGCAGGAAGCCAAAGGGGTGTAAAATTATGAACCAGCGACATTCATCTAGGCATCTGCCAATCTTGGGAACTTTAGGAAAGATGCTGGCACGATAGTTATTTTCATTCATCAGTTAGGAAACAGGTTTTCATGTATTAAGTAATCCTGTGTCAAGCTCTATTTTTACCCTCAGCTTTTGATCAGCATAGTAGTCCCTTGGTTTACAGCCATCCTTACTAAATAGGCTCTGGATCACTTGCTACAATTCTTTCCAAGTCAGAAATGTTGTACAGTTTTTGCCATTGTAGTATCTCTAGAGATTTCTTTCTAGAGCTCTGGAAAAGCCAAAATTAATCCCTGTTGACATACTAGCTGGCACTGATGGAAGTTATATGAAAACATCTGGAGGTGAGAAGTGTATGCAGACAAAGAAAAATCAAAATCCATCTTCAGAATAAAGGAGAAAATTCCATCTGTTTCAGGTTGCCATAAGAGACCTAAAATGGTAGTCTCATAGGCAACACTAAAGGTGCAATATAAGTGAGATACCCATTAGCCCCTGAACTCAGAGGCTTGTGGTCATCCTATGCAGTGTGGGGAGGAACAGTGGAGATAGCTGTTACCTCCCCATTCCTCCCTCTCTGCATTTTTGATAGACTTCTGCTTAGCTCTTCAAGCCGGGATGCTTCTCAGGGGGAAGGAAGGAGTCTGGAGCAACTTCAAGATTTCTTGTGTCCTGGCCTTCTCCTCTCCTTGCCCTTTCCTGCCCCTCCCCACCCTCTTTTCACCCCTTTCACAGAGAGTAGTCAAGACAGATATTTCTCTCCTGCCTGCAAGGGGGTGGTGGAGGAAGGAATTTAGAGCTCTGATCCTTCACTCCGAGATTGGCAAGCTGTCTCTAGACTTGGACCTGGGAACTTGAGTGATCCTAGGGTCCCCAGATGATGTTCAGGGATCAAAGGATATGGGCGAAGGATATAGCAAAGTATATGGGCTCCAGAGATGCCCATCCGTGAAACTTCAGCTTTACTTGAGCTCTGACATTAACCAGAATAGAAGCCTTCTTAGTATTTGCAGATGCGATTCAGACTCTTTACATCAGCTTTGCAGGATCAAAACTGTTCTGCCCATGTAGAATGGTTCTGTGCCCTCATGGGAAAATAGCTGTTTCACAATTGCACTAATGCTTACAACAGCTCTGTGGTACTTACTTCAGCCAGAATGCATTGGTGAAGGATGATGCTTACAATGTGGACTGGTATCTTTAAAAATCAAATCCTTATTTAAAATATTTTCCTGTTTGCAGGCAGTACGTGCCATACTACTACACTCCCCACCCTCGTTCGGACACCTACACTCATGATGCAGCCGTCCCTGGATATCAAACCGTTTGTGTCCTTTTCGGTGGACGGCAGCTCTGCTGTTGGACTTTTCCCAAATTTTAACACCGTAAGTAACAAACGTTGCAATTTCCCACCAGTTGTTCTTGTTCTTTGTTTTCTTCACTGTATAACACAAAGCACATTCCATGCTATTGTTTATGGTTATTCTAATTGCGGGTGGACAAGTGTCGCCATGAGCATTGTCAGTCCATGTGAAACAATATTTTAAATACATTCTATTTACTTAACTTTGTGTAGCTTATAAGAAATACAAAATGCTGTCCAGGGTCGTTTTTCTGCTTAAAATAAACCAAAGTTCTACCACAAGTATTACTTGTTTTATTTCTTTTGTGACATTATGAATTAGAAAGTCTCTAGGTTTTCATGATTTATTGTCTCCCATCAGCCTAAGCTAGAACCTACTGCTTCTAAATCCCTTTCTGCACCTATCTAGATGCCAGCTGTTTTCTTTCAGCAATTCTGTACAAAGACCAACAGACCATTTCCTTCCTGATGGATCCTAAAGTGATCTTGCCATTTCCCTTCTTTTTGGATTGCATTTTTGGGACTATGTCAATGAAATAGCAGGCAAGTTTTGACTCTTCCCATAGAGTATGGGTCTTTGCTGCTTATATGGTCATATTGAGACTATTAGGCTGGCTTTCTGCAAAGCATTTGCGTTTTTCTTGGGGAACATTGGTACTCTGGTGAGGGAGAGGCCAAGGAGAGAGAGGATATATGGCCTTGTGAGTACAGCAGTTGTTTTAGATGATGATATTTTAAATTGCATCCAACTCTACAATTCTATGATTTTATGTCTAACAAACCAGAGAAGTGTTTGTAGTTTGCCTGCTTCCATGTCAAATCCTAATAACTGTGCAGTTAATTCAGTGGCATAAGGTTTAATGCTGAGCCTTGCAACATTGCAAAATGAATGCATTTTACAGTTAACAAGTCATGTTTTCTGCATTAACATTAATGGGCTTTTGCTTCTCATCTCAAATCCAAGAACTCTCCTTAAACCAAGGAGACCTTCCAGGAGAACAATTGGAAGTTTAAACACCTGAGTGCTTTGAACAGGTCATCTCTCCCATTTTGCCCATGCAGTGTCACTGTACATCATTAGTGCCCTGACATTACAGTGGCCTCAGAGATGCATACTTTGTGCTAATGCTCTTCTCTTCCTTAAATGTGTTATGCTAATCCATCTCACATTTGTACATCCTGGTTCAAGATCATCTCACTTCTATTTAAGTATCTCTATTCAGCCATTTTCTCTGACCTGTTTTCCCTTTTGCTCACCTTGTCTCCATATTCTATTCTTTCTGTTTACCACCTCTGCTTAGTTCAGGTGCAGCATTTCTGCCTTATTGCTCACCTGTATCCACTTCACTCTGCTGCCCTTTGTATTTGAATTTCCACATCCACCATCTGCACTGCTCCATCTGTCTTCATCCAGATGAAGTACTGAAATGTTAGTCTTTGCTTTGGTTTTCTCTGTACCATCCCCTCCCCCTCATTTCTTGAATTTTTTGTCCCTTGTTTGTTATCTCTTTCATTTTAACTGTTTGTCTGTGAGTAGTGGTGGTTCTTTTTAGTCTCTGTGAAGCGTCTAGTCTCTCTTTAGAAGTTTAATCAATTGAGATTAGAATGTAGAAGTGATGAAAAACAGCTTCTGCTTGATCAGTTGTACTAACATTTGTATACACTGTTCATTTTGAAGGATGGCTCTAACTACTTCCCCCCATAGTAGTAAATGGTATTTCCAGAAAAGGGAAAAAAGCCATATTGTTTGGCTATTTTCGGCTGTTTTTAGCTTCAGAAAAAAGTATTTCACTTTTAAATCCTTCATTTTACGATTCAATTTCTTGATGCTCTAAAAATACATCCCAAATGTATTTCAAATCTTTTATAACAGCATGGTTCAGAGAATTTTCCTATAATCGTATATTGCATATGACTTAAAACCAATATCTAGTGTGTTTGCTGAACCTGTATTGCCATGTTCAGACAATTCAGCTGGGACCCATTCTGTAAATAACAAGCTCATACCAATAGAAATAAGAGTGATTTCAGGTCATTGTGTGGATAATGCTATCCAGTGAGTAAATAGAATTTGCTCATACATGTTAGTTTACAAGAGATGCAAAGTATTATAATTGTTGTTGTAATTTCAAGGAGAGGAAAAAAGAAATCTATTATCAGCTCTGCCAGACTTTGGGCATTGGCACTAATGCCAGTTGTTGCCTTTGTAAGGTTACACTCTGTGTTTGTGTGTGTGTGAGAGAGAGAGAGAGAAAACAAAAGAGCCTCCCTTATTATTTGTAAATAAATTCTGCTGACAGACCTTGTTCTGCAGTACAAAGTACAGTAAAAAGATGATGGGATAGCATTCCAATCTTGAAAACAAGAATAAGTAATACCTTTAAATATTAATGCATTCATTTCAAAGCAACAAAACCTGAGAATCTGATAATAAGTATGTGCGGTGCATTTATTTAAATTGAGCTGACATTCCAGGGACTGTTTCTTTTGTCTCTCTTTCCTACCTAAAAAAACAAAAAGCGTTGCTGGGTTTTGTCATGCACAGTGGTCTCACACTCTGTTTCTTTCAAGGGTGCAGGATACTTGATATGAGTCAGCAGAGTCCCCAACTCTTGGCACGAGCAGTGGGCAGGCGGAAACTAGCGATGCCATTCGTTTTCTTACTTGTTTTCTTCAAAATATAAGTTCCGGTGCATCATCATGCTTGTCTCAAAATTCTTCTCTTGCTCAGATTGTAACTTGAGCTGGAGAAGGATTCGCACTCGCTCCCTTGCCCATCCACTTACCCATCTTTTGTGCTCTGTTGGTGGTAGCGTAATAGGGGAAAGTCTCTTCCTACGCACTTGCTTTGCCATCCTTTGGCATGCTGGTACAGCAAGGAACCAGGTGCCAGGACTGCACCAAATGGGTAAGAGAGAAATGATTTCCTTCTGTTATGAAAGGAAAGGAGAGGCCTGGATGCTCACTGTGAGGACTGGAGGAGTGATAATACCCCATCTTGCTTACATAATACTCCCCCTTGCTTACATAATACCCCTCCTTCGTAGCCTGATGAGATCAGGCCATGACAGGGTCAAATCTCCTTGGAATAAACCAAGCTATTTTGTAAGTCTGAGGAAGAAATGTTATTTCCTAACTTTCCCAGGGGAGTTCATCTTATTGCTGTCTTTTAAGCTGCACATTTGGTCAGCAGGGTGTGTATCTGGGAAGCTGTCCCTTTAGCATGGATGCAGAGCCCATTACTTAGAGCCTTCCAAGTCACTGTGCTGCAGTGGTTAAGATCATGAAACTGGGACTCAGACGATCTGGGTTCTAGTCCCTGCTCAACCATGGAGCCAACTGGGTGACTTTGGACCAGTCGCGGACTCTTGGCCTAGTCTACCTCGCAGGGATGATGTTGTGGGGATAATATGGAGAGCAGCAGGAGGAGAATGATGTAAGCCACTTTGAGTTCTTTGCAAGAAAAATGGTGGGATAAAAATCTAATAAATAAATACAGCTCTAACAGCTGCACTACTGATGCTACACCACAGATCAAGGGTACCTGAGAGGCATCATCAGTACTCCCTCAAGTTGAGGCTCCATCTACTGTGCAGAATTACCTTGGATCATTTGTCTCTGAACTCTCAAAAGCAGTTCAGGAAAAGGAGAGACTGTTACCCATGTAGCACAGGGGGCTTCTGTCTGAAAAAGGTAGAGAGAGTTTTAATTAATTATTTAATTGTTAAATGTGCATGCCACCCACTAATCCAAAAGATACACTTTTATTTTTAAAGGTACAATATTTGAAGGTGTACTCAAGGTTCAGCCAAAATTTTGACCTAAATTCTTATTTCACCCACCTATGCCTTTTCCATGATGGTTTTGTGGGAATGTTTTCCCTTTTCTGACTAATCTGTTATTTGCAATCCTATAGGTAACATAATATGTAAATATTAACAGTCATAATTTTTTATCACTATTATTGTATGCATGTTTTTCCAGAAGGCATTTGATAGCAACAATATGGAGAAAGGCTTTTGAGTATATACAATTAACCAATGAGAAGGACTGTCAAAGATAGATTTAATATAATATTGCATATCACATACACCTACACAAATTTTATATATGAAATGTCCCAGTTTTTGAAAATCAGTCTTTACCAATGTTCAGCCACTGAGTTACAACATGCAGTAAATAATCTTGCTTCCTTTGGCTACAGTATTATTTATAACTTTATGGATTGCAAGACTTTTGTCTTTAATCTTTTCCATTTATATTTGGATCTGTTTTCTTTGTTTACACTTCAAGGAGCAGTCTTTCATTGATTTTCCTCCAAAATTAACTTTTACCATATATTTTCCAAAGGATGATGATTCATGGATTTTGCTGATGAAACAATAATAATGACTTTAGGAGAAGGATATACAAGTTTCCATAATGCATTGTGCAGTACAGGCTCAGATTTGCAGTTTAGAATTCTAGTACAATTTATTTATTATATGCCACCCCATAGCCCAAAACTCTGGGTGACTTACAGTAGAAACAATGACAACAGTACAGCAAATAATAAAATCCACTGAAAACAGAAAATCTGATACTCAATGTCACAAGAAGCACACAGCAATAAATTAAAGCAATGTTTTTGCTCTGTGTTTTTTTAATAAACTGATTTTTCAGTTTAGCTACTAAAACACCTGTTAGATTTAAAAAAAGTCTGTACCTGGTGCCAGAAGACAAGCAGCAATGGTGCCAAGCATGTCTCTTAACGGAGGATTCCCTAAGCGGACTGCAACCGCAGAGAAGGCCCTTCTCCCAGCCATTGTCCCCTTTATACCGCTAGCGGGCGGCTCTCGGAGGAGAACCTCCATTGATGATCTTAGTGAGCTGGCAGGGATGGATAGATAGGCTGTCGTGATTTAAAGTGTTACGAGTGTGTTCCTTTACCTGTTCATGAGTCTCAGAAGCAGGGAGTAAAAGGGGGAGGTGAGCGAGTGAGGTGATTGGTTGGTGACTGAGAGTGTGTGGGCGGAGCTTGGA